TTATTTAAATTGTAATCATGAATATTGTTCGCAAGCGATGTTCTATTAATTTCTTAATTAACATTTAATAAATATTAAAGGTATTTTTACATGTTTGAAAATTAATTATTTATTCAGTTAAATTTAACTTTAAAATTATTTACAACGCATTTTTTTTTATTTAAACATTTTTTTTTTTTTTTATAAATAAAACACTGTAAACTACTTTTGCTTTAAAAAATAATATGTACTACCAATCACTGAGAACAAAATCTGGATCGAAAGTCCAAACGTCAAAGTTCCCGCGTCTCTGTCCCGTGGGAGGACGGCGATTCACCGTATCGTCGGGTCGCGACTGCTCGTAAATCCTACGGCTCCTGTCCTCCCTCCCGCGTCGCTGAGGCAACGGCATTGAGCTATACAGCCTTTAGAATATGGAATGTGATTTTGTTCACGTATGTTTAATTGGAGGCAAATTAGTTTTGACGTTTCGTAGCGAACGCTTTAATATGTCGTTATAATTCAAAGATTAATAGAAAAACTAATTAACATGATGTTAAATATATGTTTTTGAAGAGATTTATTTAGTTAGTTTAATGAGCGTTTGGAACTGAAATGAAACTTTGTAAATGAATTATAATAATAAAATATTGACAATGATGATTTCTTTATATAGATTTATCTCAATTTAATGCTAAATATGGTTAGACAAGTCTAGAATAATTATTAGACCTTACTTTTTAAAGTCTATTAATATTTCGCTCGAAAAGCCGATAGTTATTATGTTCTCAGGTATACAAATCACTCGATTATTTAAATTTTTAGGACGAATAAATTTAAATCAAATCTATCTTTAATAAATATGCTTAAATAACACGATTCGGTGAGCAAACTTCGAGTAAATTGGATTGAGCGGGTGTAACAGACCTCTAGACCAAATCGGGTAATTGAAATAGAATTGGTCTTAGAGTAGAACGGTTAGGGGTCTTCGAGTCCTTTTGGTAATCTAGAAGTAAAACATGACAAGATGTCTGTTTTAGAATGTCACGGAATATATTGATAATTGAGTCTTATCTAAGTTTTTAGCCAATTTTCATAAATTGGAAATTATGACGGGTATTTTTTATAGCTATTTATTAGCTTTTGACTTTTCTAACTTAAATTTTTTTACTCACAGTACATGTTCAAATAGATAGGATAGAGTAGTCTAAGACAACTAGTAAGGATATAACAGTGAGGATGAAGGTATGAGTCGGTCAAGGCTACATTCACACATGGAATCCCTGACCCTGATCATCGCTAGGTGAGCAAGTGCGCATGCATGCCCAAGGCGCAAACGACACCACTTCTTGACACTTATGACCCAACGTTCTGCAAATAGTGAGGTATGTATGAACACACAAATAAAAACTTAACATAGGTTTATTTGAAATTAATGTTAAGCCTTAAAAACGGTTTTTTTAACGGAGGAATTTGAATTTTGTAAAAGTTTACAAAAAGATAGAGTTTAAAAAGTTAATAATATATAAGAACTAATTCCCGATGATATTATAATCTAATATAAATAAATAATTTATATGTTGGGACATTAACACACAACACCATCTAGTTCCATTGTAAGCTACGAGGCTTGTGTTATGGATATCAGTTGACACACTACACATATATACATATTATAAATTATAAATATAAACAACCATGACTGGAGTACAGACATTTGTGCTCATCACACAAATGAATGCCTCCAGCGGGACTCGAACCCGCGACCGCTGACACAGAAAGTAGGGTCACTACAAACTGAGCCAAACGTGTCGTCGTGTATATAAAGTAAAGAAAAATGTTGTACATTTCCAAAATATAAAGAAAATGCGTAAGTATATCTCGGATTACTCATTGTTAGAAAATACACTGAATAAGCCATCCTTGCCCTTTAATCATTGCGAAATATATACCATGACTGCCAATGTAATTATTGAGCCCCTAGTGAGATTAGATGTTTGGGGTTTCCAGAATATCTCTATACGGTTGTGACTTTGTAATAACCATCTTCCTAATAGTATTATTTCGAAAGTGGTTTTCAAATAGATAACAAAATTAATTTTAACTTTTTTTAAGAACAGTCCACAAGTGATATTAATATACTTAGATACATTTGTCTAGAATTTTCTGTGCGTAACTTAGTTACTTACTTTGGGTACTAAAATTTAAATATATATAATACTAGAATTGCCCGCGGCTCCGCCTGCGTTTTGATGACCAAAAACAAAATTCTTAGGTTTTACATATTAGTATACTCTTACGTTGCAGTTTTTGTATTTTTTCTCAAAAATGAGACATTTTCCCCCGGTAAAAAGTATCCTATATGTTGACCCGGATAACCACCTCACCATACCAAATTTCATCAAAATCCCTACAGTGGTTTTTCTGTGATGCGGTAACAGACAGACAGACAGACAAAAATTCTAAAAACTATAGATTCGGCCTCTGTATCGATAATAATGTATATTTGAATAAGATTTTCCAAAAAAAATATAATGTACAGATTCGGCTTAATCACAATTTTATTATATACCTGTATAGAATTAAGTAAATATATGTACTTCTTAACTTGATTTTATTTACTACTGAAGCTTTGTAAAATCACTTTTAATGAGGCATTTCGGCAACTGAACAAGAAGAACTGTACTGTTTATGAAGTTGAACATGATGTTCCGGGTAACTTTATAACTAAATTTTACTTTTCTTTGCAATGAAAATTTTTCAACGTTCTAGTAAAAATCGGTTTCGCAAACAGTAACGAGTAAGTCTAATATTATTGTTCTATTTAAATCTTATATAGGACATTATAGTGGAATAAAAATGAAGACATATAACTGAAACTACAGGATCGATTCCTGTAATTCTTTGTATTTGCACGATTATAATATGGTCAGGATTTCGCTTAGCTAACCTAACCTAACCTAACATGTCAGGAACCCACGATGTAGAGTCTTACACTCCACCAAGACTCGAAAAAAATATAGAGCTACATGTACTTTCTGTCTAATGCACATCGTTAAATATATTGTAAGGTAGAGAGTATATGTATTTATTATACATGTATTAAAAGAAAATTGTAATAAGTTCGATTTCCCACATTAAATATTCTTTAAAATTACTCTTATAGACGATTTTTTGGATATATACCAATCTGCCGGTATGTTTTTCCGAGCATCACTTAAAAATGCGAATAAATTTAGATATTCTTTTATATATTGTATTATAAATAAATTTTATTGTATAAATTTATTACGAAATATGTACATAGTGAATTGTAAATATTTATCGTATCATCAATTTACTTAAAAATATTTTTATATATAATATTTTTGTATAAAATATAAAAATATGTTTATATTGTATAATTGTTAGAAATAAAAATAAAGTACATAACTAAGTTTTATTTTAATCTATAGACTTGATTCGCCAATACTTTTTTAGCTATACGTTTTTCACGCTCTAATACTAAGTAGGTATTATATTTAATTGTTGCAAATCAAATAAAAATAAAGGCGCGGACGAAGAATTGAATTCTATAATATAGAGAGTTACAGTTTTTTTCAATATTGTTGAGAAATATATAGGATATCTAATAGGTTTAAGACATTTATTTCTCAAAAGATAATATCATAGTAAAACTCAAGAGGTCACCACGGTCAAACACTAGTTTATTATAAAGGTAGTACTATCGCTTCGCTTTGGTGCGTCCCTAGGTACGTTTTGATTTTTTTGAACGCAACTCTAATTCTTTTTCTAAAATGAAAGTAGCCTATATTACTCCTTATAACATCAGCTATCTGCTAGTGAAAGTCCCTTCAAAATCAGTTCAGCCGTTTTGATGATTAGTCGGAACAAACAGATATATTTTTTTTAAATTGTGTTTTTCTTATAAGTACTGTATATAATTTCATATGCATTAATAACAAGCTGTTATTTAAACATTACAAACAGACAATTTCATTTTATTTATCTGTATAGATTATAATTACTCACGAATTGAAGTAATATTTAAAAAATAATACTTTCTTAGTAACAGCAAGAGTAAATTTGTCTAAATCCGAAAACAGAATCTTCTAAAGAAATAATATTACCTATCAGATTATAATATAAATCTATCCTATTGAGTTAGTAAAGCATATTAAAGCATACGACTATTTACCGATAATGGAAATAGGACATTTTCATCTTTAAGATTAATCTTCAAGATAAAAAGAAAAAAAAGAAGAATAAGTATACATGGTATTATATATTTGTGATTTTACTATAATTCTAGTTACTGTGTATGCTGCCTCTGCCTGTGATCGAGGGTGACACATGACTACAATTTTGTATTGGTTTTGTGTTGAACGATGAGATAAATTTGTATTTTGATTTAGGTGACAAATATGAAAACCCATATCTTATTGTAGATTATTATCTGTTTATCTAAAATATTCTTAATCGTCTAAGCATTCTTGAAATCGACAGAGATGTAGACAAAATTCTAAAATTTTATATGCGCTGGCTATTTAATAGGTACTGTGCATATTTTATATAAAGAAATTCAACTTGTCACAGCTAATTTACATAGAAAAGTACATTATAGTGTATAAAACGAATGACACAAATAGAAATGCCATATTGAATGTTAAATTCTTTTTAAAGCGTTAGAAATCTCTACCATAGAAAATATTCCATACGACAGAATTTTCTAACGGTTAGTGAGCACGGATATTAGCTGTATATAGCTGTCGCGCTAACCCTTTGACAGGCACTCATGCAGAACTCAAAGCAAAGTTTAAATGTTTATTATTATTATTTTTTTGAAATTCATCATTTGAAATTCATTTATTATAATATATAAGGATCGTGTTTTTATTAATCATAAAACAATAATTAATTTTAATTCGCGATAGTTTTAGTAATGGCATATTTTACACGTGTATCCATACATTATATTATAAAATACACAATGAAATATTAATTCACTAAATACATTCTTAGTTACTCACCGTGAACCCGATTCCAACTGTGGCCGAAAAGTTGCCGGCTTGAAACTTGCCCGTTTCGAATTGCACCAGAAGTGAAGTCTTTCCCACTCCACTATCGCCTAGTAAGATTGTCTAGAAAGCAGGAAAATTGTCAGTATTTTAATAATTACACACAAACTCATATATGTAAATATATATATTTACATTATGTCTGCAATGAAGAAATGTTTGTTTAAAATATTTTAGTTTAACTGTAACTTAAAAGCCACAGAATAATAAACTGATCCGAACATTATTATTGTTAATAATAATATATAATAGAACCGAAAACAATATTTTCATAAATTATCAAAAGATTTTATAATATAAACGATTGTGAAGAGATAGCCTGTAATTTTTTTACTTTAAAATTAATTACTGGAGTTTTGATGATTCAGGATAACTTTTCTTAACTTTTGTTCAAACAACTTGTAAGAGTTTCAACATCGACAATATTTAAACAGTTATAACTACTTTAATTGAATATACGGACCTTTATTACTTACTGGTTATTTAATTGGCAAATTACAGTGATTCTGAATATAAAATAAATTGAAAAAACTGTCAAGGCGGGTTTCGTACCATAATCGGCTTTTTTTTTAAATTTGCATGGCAGTCTTTTTGGAAATCGCCATCTTGGTTTTTTTTCATTATTTGTTGTTATAACGGTAATAGAAAAACACACTCTGTGAAAATTTCAACTGTCTACCTATTATTGTTCATGAGATAAATACATCCCTTTGATAGATGGACGGATGGACATCGGAGGTTTAGTAATAGAGTTCCGTTAACAGCCTTCGGATACGGAACCCTAAAAGAGATTATTACTATTACCATGAAAATTACTTAAAAAAGTAATTATACCAACCTTATATATATAACGTACGTTCAAAGCTACATTAATAACTTAATAAATAATATTAGGCGCTCCCTTTTATCCTTCTTCGGTATAGCCATAAGAAGGATAATGTGACGACACGTTTGACTCAGTTCGTAATGAGAGTATACCCTACTTGCTGTGCCAGGGGTCGCGGGTTCGAGTCCCGCTGGGGGCATTCATTTGTGTGATGAGCACGAATGTTTGTACTCCAGTCATGGGTGTTTATATTTATAATATATATGTATTTAAAGTTATATATGTGTAGTGTATCAACTATCTGGTATCCATAACACAAGCCTCGTAGCTTACTATGGAACTAGATGGTGCTGTGTGTTAATGTCCCCACTTATTTATTATTATTATTATTCTATGTAAGTTATCAAGATATTAATGGAATAATTTATTTTATTTATTTTTTATTTTAGGTAAACAAACAGTACAATATTACATAAATAATAAATAATAATAGATAACACACAAACCAATGAAGTTTCCACATATTAAACAATACAAATAAGAAGCAGACCAATGAAACATATTATATTATAATATATAGATAATTGAATAATAGGTTTCTTTTTACCTTATGTATTGGTATGTCTTCATCTATAGCTGTGCGGATAGGTGATTCTGGTCGGTAGTCTCTATAGCCTGTAGGAGAGGGAGTGCTTCGTTGTGCTGTGTTGGAAACACGCAGAGTGTCCTCTTCAAACACGTCGTCACTCATACTGTCGTCTGTTCCCACGTGCTGTAAAATGTTTTTAAAATTTTTAAAAATACTCAGGCATTCTCTATTACGTTTGAGGTCATAGGTTCGAATGTTTATGTCCAGTATCGAGGTTATACCGTGCTCTACACGAGCTGTTTAATTTTTTTTTTGCTTGATTTTTATTTTTTACCACTTTCGAATTTTCTTTTCCAAAATTTTAATATCCCATGGAAAGCATACGTATACGTTTATATGTTACACGTATATGTATATAGTATATACATACGTTTAAAGTATTAGAATAAAAAATACATAGTACATATATTAAAAAAACAAGTCTATGCGTAGTATTTATAATATATGTATTTTAAATTAATTATTTTAAACACTATACGTATAATATATGTATTATAAAATATTAATGATGATTACAATAAAAACTTTTTAACAAAAAAAAAACCGACTTCAAACAAAAGCACTAAAAAGTAAAAAATAACTGATGGGAAGTTTTCATTTACTATACATACCATAGGTATGTATTTAATAGGTAGGCTTTAATTACTTGTCCAAATCGGTTAATAAATGACGGAGTTCTGAGGTAACAAACATAAAAAAAACTGTTGAATTGAGTGACCTCCTTCTTGAAGTCGGTTGATGCCAGACAATGATTAATTAGGGAAATAATTATTTTATTTTAGTACAGTAAATGTATTACCTACTTATGTATGTTATTAGGTTAAACGTCAAATTATAGACAGGTTTATAAATTAAAAGACATAATAAGCTTATTAAAAGGAGAATATTATTATTTATGCCGTTCGTTTTACATAATCTCTTTAGAACTTTATATTGTTCAAAAACCTATGTCGCAATTTTTATAGGAGCTTTTGTCTAGATAATTATATGAAGAGAATTTTTTCTTTGAACATAAGAATATTTTAATAAAACATTAAAAACATAAAATATTTTAACGAGAAAGAGAGACGAGAATTGTTTGTGTAATGTTCTTAGCTAACAATTGTAGAGTACAGTAAACAAATTAATTTTCCCAACATCGCTTTCTTTTATTTTACATTTAAAATTCTATTACTCACTTAATTTATTTATTTATAACTAGAATCGCCCGCGGCTTCGTCCGCGTTCAGATGACCAAAAAACAAATTCTTAGTTTTCACATACCTATTAGTATACTCTTACATTGCAGTTTTTGTATTTTTTCTCAGAAATTAGATATTTTCCCGCGGTAAAAAGTATCGTATATGTTGACCAGGATAACCAGCTATCACCATACCAAATTTCAGCAAAATCCCTCTAGTGGTTTTTCTGTGATGCGGTAACAGACACACAGACAGACAGACAGACAAAAATTCTAAAAACTATAGATTCGGACTCTGTATCGATAATAATGTCTATTTCAGATTTTCCAAAAAATATTTAATGTACAGATTCGACTTAGTTAAAATTTTATTATATGTATAGATTAGCGACTTATCTCTAGGTTATTAGATGCCTAACAATAACCTGTTACTCCACTATAGCATGTTACTCTCATTGTCCATCTGTGTACTAAACAGCGTGAAGGATTAATATATCTACGCGCAGATCTAAACTTTCGAATCTACTTATACGAGTATAACCAAAAAAAATACAGCCGAATTGAGAACCTCCTCCTTTTTAAAGAAGTTGGTTGATAATATCTTTTTACTAATTGCATATGAAAGTATCTATATATATTATAAGAAAAATCAATTTTTAAATTTCAATATTTATAAAATTCATCGGTATATAAAAATCGATGTGTGTATGTATGCTCCCTATGAACTCTACAACGGTTTAAGCGATTTTGATGAAATTTTCAGGCAATCTTCAGATTAGCTTAGCGAATGATCCTGTGAAGTTTGGTAGTGATCGGCAGTTTGATCGTTGGCGAAGCTATGGGAATTTATAATAATATACATTATTGGCCGAATAAACCAAGCACTGAGAATTTGCGCTTCCATGTGATTAGTTGAAGATAAGACGCTTAGGCCGCGATTACAATGCAAGGCATAATTATTAGTCCGTCGTTGGATTCCGTACCGTTCAGACGTCTCTCGTGTAGTTACTAAATCAATATTATCAAAGTAGGAGATGACAGTGATACGTTTTAAAGCGAAAATTAATAAATAATGTATACAGATATTAGTTAATTTTACTTTAATGTTAATTTTATTCGTATGTTGATTTTATTTTATTACAAATTATTAATAATTCCTCACTAAAGCATTAGCAACATGAACGAGCCCTATGATTTCAAACCAGTTGCAAGTGTTAGTGAGCGGACCTAGACAGTTTTCTGTCCTTATCAGTTTGTATGATAATGTGGGACAGAGAAAGCGCTTTGCATGGTTCACTCAGTGAATAGAGTATAGTCCGATTATTTCGCTTCTAAAGATTCATAGCATAGGTACAAATGCTGGCCGTAGACAATGGCTTATAGCTAAATCTTAGCTATATTTATAAAAGACCAAGTATATAGTACCTTATTACCTAATATCTAAATGAACTGACAATGCAAACACAATATTCAGCTGTGTGTACATTTTGGCTGCCTGTCATAGTTCTTGTTTGCTTCTGCGCCAAATAGATTAAATGATAATAGACTTTGACACAATCAAACGGATTACCATGTCTATGTTTGAACGTATAATCCTGAGGTTGATGTGAGCGATATGTTTGACGTGGATATGATTATAATTATATTTACACGAACAATAATGATATGATGATTCTAATTAATGTTGATTTTTTTTATATTTGAGTAGTGAAAAGCGTCTATAGGTCCTTTTTTCATTTATGAATACGAAAGTTATAATTTTATGATATGATATTTATTAAATGTAAATTTGAATAATATATGTTATATACATATATTTATCATTCTTAACTAAACAAAAACGCTGTGCCGTAGGTTACACAACTTATATAAACAACTATCCAATATTCCGCGTGAGCTTTCAAAATCCTCTTATAAACTATTTCATGACTTTTGACACGGTATGAAAATACCGAATTACATATGTTCTTTCAAACTTTAGCTACTAGAGAAGACGCCCGGAGCTCTAATGAACATCTTCAATATATATATATGATAAAATTGTAACATTGAAATAGACATTATTATCGATACAGAGTCCGAATCTATAGTTTTTAGAATTTTTGTCTGTCTGTCTGTTACTGCATCACGAGAAAACCACTTGACAGAATTTGGTGAAATTTGGTATGATGATAGCTGGTTATCTGGGTCAACATATAGGATACTTTTTACCTTTGCGGGAAAATATCTCATTTCTGAGAAAAAATACAAAAACTGCATTTTAAGAGTATACTAATATGTAAAACCTAAGAATTTGGTTTTTGGTCATCTGAACGCGGGCGGATCTGCGGGCTATGCTAGTATGTATATATATATATATATATATATATATATATATATATATATATAAAGGTATATATATATTGTTATGAATTTGAGCCGGTATAGTATTATAAATAGGTGAATTCTCCGCTACCTCCCGTACCTACTATGAATAGTTTGCTGGCATCTGATGTCGCGGTTGCGGTTGATATTTTCCAAACCATAGTATCGAAAATAAAATTAATTAATGTTGAGTTAATTTAAGCTTTTATATGGTTTTAAAAGCACTCATTTAAATAGATACTTAATAATACTAGATGCATACGTGTCTGGGCTAGCGTTAATTAACTTTGCTTGTTACGTTGCAAATTGATCAATTTATCCAATATCATCGAAGTTGACGTGCGGTTATTTGCTGGAGACGAATATTAATTTTACAAAAGCAAAATATAGTTCGATATTTGGATTTTCGCGTAAAAAAATTAATATTTTCCTATTTGACGAGTGCTCTACACCATTCATATTCTCATGTTTTTATTATTTTACATTTTAACTTATTTTTTCTTTAGTTCAGTATACAAATAATATATTAGTCGAGCTTTTATTCATACATGTAACATGGTATTGACAGTTTAATTAACGCCTTTCATCTACTACTGAGTCTCAATTCTAAATAACATAAATTTTCTGATTAACCACACTAGAATGTTTTAAGGACAAAAAGTGATTGGGTAAAGTAAAATCTTTTGTTAATACAACCTATTGTAAAGGAGAAAGTACAAATCATATAAAAATGCATTTATAGTTAGAGCATCATAATTGATACTGGGAAATAAAAAAGTACGTAAGAAGCCGCGAGAAAATGCTAGAATTAAAAAAAAACAATTTTCTAGATTTAGGCTTATTAAAACAGCAAAAGTTAGGGTATCTCGTTAGTATATAAATAAACATTAAATTTTAATAAGTATTTCTATGGAGGTATTATCCGCAGCTACGGAGCTACCCGACCTATTATACCCTTTTGAAAGGGTAAAACAAAGATGAATGTTATACGTCTCATTACTCTATCTCTATTATTATTCAGCTCGCTTTCGGCAGTCCCTTACTAAAGGGGCTTGTACTAGCATTAGTGCTACCAGATGAAGAGTTTTTTATGGATATTTTATACATGTAATTTTATTGAGGACAACTTTCGTTGTTATTTCATACTATTTATCTCCCAAGGGTCTGCTCGTGTGATGTAAATTCTAAATCCTTGCATTTCATCGAAATCGGTTTATCTCAAGAGTGAATATTTAACAAACAGATAGACTGGGATACTTTATATTTATAACTAGCGGCTCACCCTCGCTTCGCTCGGGTTCATCGCTTGGTACGTTTTAAATAGATATAATTAGCCAGCGTTAGCCATATATTTTTTTTTGGTTAATAATATTGACATTAATATTTATACGATACCTACTAACGTCACTCAATTGTTTGCCTTCCCGGGACCTCTCCACTAACACTTAAACTTTATGGTATGGTATTAAAGTTCAATTTGACCTTTAAGTATTATTACGAATCTTTTGTATGGGAGTATAGAAAAATGTTGTTTTTAAACTTTTTGGGCAATTTTTAAAATTTTTCTCTCCGTAAGAAC